CACTCAAGGCTGCTGTTAGAAAACCATGGGGCCCAATACAGCCAACCTGACAAGCCCCCCCCCCCCTCTCAAATAAACACAGTTTACTAATCTTCATTTATGAATGCACACCTTGAGTGAACAGTACCGATCACTCATTGTGCTCATTCAGGAAAGGAAGGGGCTGGTAAATCTGACATAGTTACTAAACCCTTCTCCCCACTCTCCATCCTGAAGGATTATATTGTATGCATGCACCTGATAGCGGGAAGGAGAGAAGCTGGAAGCACTGCATGGATAGGGGGCCTAGGGCGAGTGGGAAACGGTGGACAGGGAGGGTGATCAGTGCTGCGGGGGGGGAAGCAATCTCTGGAACTGATCCCCTGTATGGCAGAGAGAGCCATACTGGGGATCATTTGCAGTAATTGACCCCCCCCCACCCCATGTCGATCACCCTCCTTGCCCACATCTGATGCACCCTGCTGCCTGGGCCCCCTACAGGATGACTGGTGGAACTCTCTTATCCACGGCCCTGGGAGTACTGCTGTCTACTTAGGTGTATATACTCCAGATCTCTGTACTCTGTTCCTTACCCACTCTTGACTCCTGCACATTGTATATTACATACACAGTACCCCTGCAATCTGTACATTATCCATTCCTGACTTATGCATTCTGTACATTATTTTTACTCCTGCAGTCCGTACTTTGGAGCCATATACCAAAACCTTACATTGCTCATAAAGGTACAGCTAAGCTTTACGGGTTGTTAGAGGTTAGATACGTTTTTCTGGGTGTAAAAAACAATCCGTAAACATCCACTACTTAAAAGCTGCGTAATCTATTTTTCATGAAATTGTTTCTTACTGTGTTTTTCAACCTCCTTGAAATGCCCTTATGAACTCCCAAACCTCTCATTTCCCTTTGTTTAGAGTAAGCATGTATATTGCTGTATGCACACTACAAATCCCATAGTCCATTAGACATTTGCATGTGCACAGGCAGGAGGAGGAGGAGCCAGGGAGGAGGGACAATGCTCTGCATGAGCTGTGCTGATGATCTGAAGTCTGCAGTGAGTTTACTACGGATGGAGAATTACAGGGGATGGGGGAGCACAGTGACCAGTAAGGGGGTGGAGGGGGCAAGTAACAAGAGTGTACACTTAGGGTAATTATTTTGGGAGGTGGGGTTAAGAGGATATGTGCTGGTTGGGTGCTTTGGGAGGGGAGAGGACTTGAAGGAGGGGGGTTGAATTTTGAAAATTTTTGGGAAGACATCTTGGGCAGCCACAGAAATATTTGGATCTGTAGGCAGGATCAGCAAGGTAATTAGGGGGAAAACACCATACATACAATTTTTTACCCACATTTCACTATCTTATGATATTTTACCCACAATTTCATTATTACAGTAATTACTGCTGTTTTTTTGGGGACAGAAAAGGGGAAGGGGCTTATTTAAACATAGAGTTCCTACATAATGTAAAGGCAAAAGTCAGTTATTATTCTATAAGGGTTGAAAACAATTCATATTATGTTATGATAAACTTACCAGTTGGGCCATCCCCCTGATGAGATGGGATTTCATGGGGGTTGTGCCATGAGTGCCCTCTTGCAGTCCAATGTGGCATCCTGATTGTTTTTTAGATACCTGAATGTATATAAATAGATAGATATATTAGCTAAATATACATAAAAAATATTCACAATAGCAAATCACAATCCGAAATTGGCAGAGATTTAAAAAATCAGTGGGAATCACTGGTGCAAGCTTTGCAGCTGCCTGTCAGACTGACAACTCCTCAGCAAGTGCTAAGCAGCACAGCTGCACTGCCTCATATACTACCCACTCTAAACCAATCACAGTACTGCAACGAGGCGCTGCAATAACCGAAAAAAAACAGCATTGGCTACATCAAGACCAGCATATATCACACCGTTCATTACCAGGCCACTTTTTAGTTATCAGTACCATGTTAGTTTGACTCATAATTACTTAGTCATTAAACACTGCATTCAAATGAGTTTTTTTTTATATTTTTTTTAGACTTTCTTTTGGTAGTATTTACTAAGCACTGGATTTTCTATTAATAATATATAAAACAAAAAAGGAAAACATTTTGAAAAAATAAATGAATCCATGACTGTAATGTGATGGTAAGGGGGGGGGCTTTAAAGCATGGCTGACCACTGATGATATGGGTGATATGGGGTTGGGGGTCTTAAAATGCCACTGACCACCAATAATTGTGGGATTTTTTTTTTTGAGGGGGGTGTTTAATGTGTTTAATTAATAATAATTGGGATTGGTAGGGTGGTGTTAATGTATTTTGTATTTAATATGACATCTAGCTGTTGCAGGCAATGCAATTTCAGCAAATTCATCTACCAGGGAGCTTTCTTCCACCAATAAAACAACTTGCACTTGGCTTTAGTGGGCAACTTTTAAAGGCTCACCACAGCTTAGCCATATCAATATCAGCATGTTTCTTCATTTCCACAATATTATGCCATAAAATAAGATCACCATTGGGATGTCCACTTTCCAAAAAAGGTCATTTTGGGATGCTTCGTAAAGTGCTGATTTTTTTATTTGATATATTTTATAACAGAAAGTAAGGGAAACAGCCCTCATACCTGTAGTGCTGGAAGTTCAAAGCTAACAGTAATATTTTCCAGCTAATGAACAGATTATAAACAAAAACCCTGTAAGTATTTTACACCCCATTACAAGAGGTAACTTTTCTGCTTTAGGAATTTGGAAAAAATTCTGTGGCTGGAATTGGACTTTATTTTTGTTTATCTTCTACTTAAAGTGATATCAAAGCAAATTTTTTTAACTTATTATTTAAATTAAGTTTTCACTATTTTTTTCCTGCTCTGCATACTATTCCCCTACAGTATGGTTTTACATTTTGAGGATCAAAACACTCCCCCTTCATCAGGGCTTAGGATCTAGACAGAACTTAAATAGACTCAGTACAATGGATTTATTCTCTATTAATCTGAATGGGTAAAAAATAAGTGGATCAGTCAATCATCAATAGTACCATTGTTAAAGGCAGTACTAACCTCTACTATTTGGTCTGCCACTCCTTCTGCGGTTCTGTGTTTCAAATTATTATTATGATTATTATTACAGGTACTTATATAGCGCCGTCAATTTAAGCAGTGCTTTACATATATATTGTACATTCACATCAGTCCCTAACCCTCAAGGGGTGTACAATCTAAGGTCCCTAACTTACATTCATACATACACATACTAGGGCCAATTTAGACAGGAGCCAGTTAACCTACCAGCATGTCTTTGGAGGTTTCAAATGACCACGGACAGGCTTGCACCTTGCAGAAATCATTATATCTACACTTGTTCTAAGTCAAGTAATCAGAGTATTGAGCCCAAAGAATCATTATAACAGGCAAACAACTAGAAGGAGAGATCAGAAATGGCAGCCTAGATATTTTTCTCATAACTATCATCATTAAAGACATATAGGGGTTGATTTACTAAAGGCAAATAGACTGCATTTTATACAGTGCAGTTGTGCCAAAGCTTAGTAAATGAGGCAAAGCTTTACTTTGCAAAGAATAGCTAATCACATGCAAGCCAAATAAAAAAAAAAAACTGCATTTTTACTTGCACATGACTGGATGATGGAAGTCAGAAGAGCTTCCCCTCATTTACTAAGATATGGAGCAACTGCGCTTGCAAATTACACAATCTATTTGCCTTTAGTAAATCTCCCCCATAGTGTTTGCCATTGCTTAGCTCCTTTTGAAAAAATAAAAAAAGCTGCTTGGCTATGCGATGCTTCAGTAATTGAGTCATAGACCCATGCCTAGCTTTCTAATCTTTATGGTACCCTGAACTCTCTTGTTGTTCATAATATGTAATGGAGTCAGCCAGTGAACTCCCTCTGTACTCCCAGTTCAAAAGGTGTCCTAGATGAAGTGAGAATTTTTTTCTAGAATCCTTGGTAGCAGTCAGACAGGTAGTGCAGGATATGCTTCCCACTTCTCAACTGCTTTAGAAATGAACACTGTTCAGGTCAATGTAACAGCAACAGGGGGGCTCTAGCACCCATCTGGCTCACATTTAGTATAAAGGGGACCCTACATACCAAAGATGCTTATGCAACTGCACATTCACACAATTGGTTTGCTTACCCATCCATACAAGAAGTGGGAATGCAGAGAATCAGAATGTTAGCCAGATACCTAACATATTTTAAAGAAGAGGATAGAAACTGCAGCCTGAACTTTTCTTGCAAAGGTTACCTTTACATTGTTACTCTGGTAAACACAGAAACAGTCTAGTATATTGTCGTCTACATCTTATCAAGCAGTGGTATGTGCCAGGTCAAATGGTTTGGTTCTTGCTTTTGTAGAAATCCAAGTGGGACAATTTTGGTATTTTATTAAAAAAAAATCACATAAATATATAAATATAGGCATATACACACTATATTTCCAAAAATATTGGGACTGCTGCTAGAATCCATTGCCTTTACATGCGCATGAACTTAAATGGCATCCCAGTCTTAGTCCATAGGGTTCAGTATTGAGTTGGCCCACCCTTTGCAGCTATAACAGCTTCAACTCTTCTGGAAGGCTGTTCACAAGCTTTAGGAGTGTGTCTATGGGAAGGTTTGACCATTTCTTCCAGAATTTGTGAGGTCAGGCACTGATGTCGGATGAGAAGTCCTGGCTCACAATCTCCGCTCTAATTCATCCCAAAGGTGTTCTATCGGGTTGAGGTCAGGGCTCTGTGCAGGCCAGTCAAGTTTCTTCACCCCAAAGTCACTCATCTATGTCTTTATGGACCTTGCTTTGTGCACTGGTGCGCAGTCATGTTGGAACAGGAAGGGGCCATCCCCAAACTGTTCCCACAAAGTTGGGTGCATGAAATTGTCCAAAATGTCTTGGTATGCTGGCGCCTTAAGAGTTCCCTTTGCTGGAACTAAAGGATCAAGCCCAACCCCTGAAAAACAACCATAACACCATAAACCCCCCTCCACCAAACATTACACTTGGCACAATGCAGTCAGGCAAGTACCATTCTCCTTGCAACATCCAAACCCAGACACATCCATCAGATTGCCAGACAGAGAAGCGTGATTCGTCATTCCAGAGAACACGTCTCTACTTCTCCATTGGTGGTGTGCTTTACACCACTGCATCCGACACTTTGCATGCAGTTGGTAATGTGAGACTTGGATGTAGCTTCTTGACCACGGAAACCCATTCCATGAAGCTCTCTACACACTTTTGTTGTGCTAATCTGCAGGTCACATGAAGTTTGGAGGTCTTTAGCTATTGACTCTGGAGACAGTTGGCGACTTCTGCGCACTGTGCGCTTCAGCATGCGCTGAGCCCATTCTGTCATTTTATGTGTCTCACCACTTTGTGGCTGAGTTGTTGTTGTTCCCAGTTGCTTCCACTTTATTATAATACCACTAACAGTTGACTGTGGAATATTTAGTAGCAAAGAAATTTCATGGATGGACATGTTGCACAGATGGCAACATATCACGGTACCATGCTTGAATTCACTGAGCCCCAGAGAGCGACCCATTCTTTCACAAATGTTTGTAGAAGCAGTCTGCATGCCTAGGTGCTTGATTTTATACACCTGTGGCCGTGGAGGTGATTGGAACACCTGAATTCAATGATTTGGAGGGGTTGTCCCAATACTTTTGGCAATATAATGTATATATATTTGTTATGCTAAAGAGTAAAGGATTGCCTAGGAAACAGGAATAAACATTATACATTATGATGCACTGCAATGTGTGTGTTTGGGTGCCAGTCAAAATTAATGGCATTATGTGACACATTATTGTGTATAAGGTGCATTACCATACATTGCAGTGATGCACATGCTTTTACCATGCTAGTGTCAGCGAGCCCTACTAGGAGCAGGTGTTCCTACTTTTTTGCAATTAGGGACAAGCTCAAGCATGTTTGGATCCTAGTCCAAACCCACCAGAAAGCTGTCACTGCCCAAAGCTGATTATAAGCAGCTGAGCCATTCAAACACCCTGCAGCTCCGCATATACAAATGGCATGAATATGTGTAGCTGCAGGGTGGGGATTGTCTCAGCCACTTGTAAGTGGATTGCAATTTAACTTAGGTGCAGCCTAAGCATGTCCCTCCTAAATGCAACAGTCAAAGTGAAATGAGGACAGGGATTGCTCAGTGTACACAGTTTTACGGTCATCTCTAAAGTTGGAGGCCACCTTAACCGCTTCTGGACTGCCCTATAGAAGAAATACTGCTACAGGGTGGCATGGGTGTGCAAAAATCACGTATCTATACATTGCATTTCCGGGTAGAGAGTGCGCACAAGCCGCGTGTGCACCCTACCCGCGCCGCCATTCACAGCCATGGCTGTCAATCACGGGGTCCCGGACGGTGTTTACTTGCTGGCGCCTGGTGATTTCCGAGGATCTCCGATGGGGAGGAGAACTGTTTTATTTACTAACAGTTCTCCTCCGTCAGCTCGGGCACACTGCTTTGGATGGCTGTGCACAGCACAGCACAGCCAAAGCAGTGTGATTAAAGTGAAGCACACTGACACCGCCCCCTGGTAAAACACTCCCAGCACACAGTTAACCCTTTGATCGTCCCTCATGTTAGCCCCTTCCTGCTCAGTGCCATTAGTACAGTGTCAGTGTTTGTTTTTAGCACTGATCACTGTATTGGTGTCACTGGGGATGTCAGTGACACCAAGTCAGTTCCCCCAGTGTCAGAATGTCCGCTGCAGTCCCGCTATAAGTTGCTGATTGCTGCCATTACTAGTAAAAATTTAAAAAAAATAAAAAACCCAGTATATATACACAGCCATTTGTAAATGCTCTAACTCTCACGTAAACCAATTCATTTACACGTATCGGGATTTTTTTTTAGCAAAGACATGTAGCAGAATATATTTTGGCATGAATTACATTTTTTACATTTTACTGGACATGTTTTATAGCAAAAAGTCAAAAATATTGTTTTTTCTCAAAATTGTCTTTTTTATAGTGCAAAAAATAAAAACGCACAGTGAATTTGGACCATTGTGTCTGGGTGATTGGAAGACAGGATGAATACATCACATTTGTCTTTTCATTTACGGCTAGTAGTTCTTCATTGCGCAAACTAGACATGTGTAGTTTGTTTCTTTTCGAATGTGGATGATTTTTTCATTATTCGGACATTCGGATGTCTCTGAATTTTTGAATTACAATAGTAATGAAATAATGCAATGAAATTCAAATTTGAATCGAATTCAAATCAAATTTGAATACAAAAAGAATAGAATATAACATGAAAGAATAGAATGGATTAGAATAGAATAGAAAAGGATGGACTAGACACTTAAAGAATAGAATAACAATAGAAAATACAATAGAATACAATAGAAACTGAAATTTGAATTTCAAATAGAATACATTTGAATAGAATAGATAAGACTAGCATAGAAAAAAAAAAAAAAACAATAGAATAGAATAAAAGAGAATATAACTGTCTTCTGAAATTCAAATTTCAAATAGAATAATTTTGAAATAAAATAGAATAGATTAGAATATAAAAATATAGAATAGAATAGAAAATAGAATATAATCAAAATAAACAATAGAATAGACTAAAATAGAAAAACTATAACTGTCTTACGAAATCGAATTTTGAATAGAATAAAATCAAATTCAAATAGAAAAGATTAGAATAGAATAGAAAAGAATGGAATAGAACAGAATAGAATAGAAAAAAAACAATAGAATATAATAAAATAGAAATATTAAATCTGTATTCTGAATTTCGACTTTTGAATAGAATAATTTTGAATAGAATAGAAAATAATAGAATAGAAAAAAGAATAGAATAGAATAAAATAAAAAGAATATAACTGTCTTCCGAAATTTGAATTTCAAATAGAATAAAGGTTATATCGAGTAGAATAGATTACAAAAGAAAAGAAAAGAATAGAAAAAAACAACAGAATAGAATAAAACAGAAAGATTATAACTGTGTTCCGAAATTCAAATTTTGAATAGAATAAATTTGAATTTGAATAGATTAGAATAGAAATGAATAGAAAATAAGAGAAGAGAATAGAATATAAAATAATAGAACAGAAAAAAACTATTAAATAAAATAGAATAAAATAGAATATACCCATTTTCCCAAAATTCAAATTGAATAAATTAAAATTTAAATTGCCAATTCGAATTCTTGAATTTGAAAACTAAACAAATTCCAAAAACAAATTAAATGAAATAAACAAATTTAACAAAATAAATTATTTAAATAACAAATGTCATTAAAATGAAACAAAACAAAATGTTTCATTCTGCACAAGTCTAGTCTGGAAGTAGGTAAAAATTAAAGAGAATAAAATACCATTCAGGGGGCCATCAAGGGAGGAGGTAGGGGGGGCCATCAAGGGAGGAGGTAGGGGGGGCACAGGGAAAGGATCTTTGGTTTTAAACTTTGCATACTGCTATCAGCTGATTTTCACTGCTTTACAATACTGTTACTATTTTATACCACAAAGCTCTGTACAAATTTGTACTCATAGGAGCTATATTTATAACATTAGAACAAAGATAAATCTAAGCCGCAATAGAAATGAAAGTCCCACATAAAAGATTACAATCAGCAAAGAAAGGGTATTGATGAAAATTTAGGGACATTTAGGGACACATATTTTGATATTTCTCTGATTAGTAATATACAGTATATTGGTTTTTGGATATATCTCCGCTAGTTGTATTCTGATATGACTAGATTAGTATGCCTCTCTTGACATTCAGTGCAAGTATCTTCTGTTCAATCATTCAAAAAATGCTAACATCCATGGCTGTTATCCAGTGGTTCACTTGACACCTTCAATCAAATTAACTGGACTGTTCTTGGCTTCCTCTGGTGGTAATATGAATGCCTCATTCTTAGGTACTTGGCTCCAGGCACAATTTACTGTGTTACAAATTGAGTAACTTGTTAGCTACAATCTATTTTGATTGCATATACAATATATAATACATTTATGACATTTAAACATGAAATAACTGTGAGATATGAGAAATTTCTGCTTTACAATGTATATCATTGGAATGAGATTTGGAACTGTGATTTTTTTTTTAACATACATCCTAGGTAGTCTATTCCTGTGTATGTTGTTGTTAGAACAGTATAATGAAGCATTTGCAGGAGGTAACTTACAATAGATGTCAGCTGAATATGTCAATGAAATACACCGTGTTCCAAATTATTATGCAAATTATATTTTTCTCATTTACCTAAATAATTGATGTAAATAATAGTCAGCATAATTCTTATGTTATCAACTATTAAGAGTACAATTCACATTTTATTGAACAAACCTCCTAATGATAACAGTATTTTGTTTAAACATAAAAAACTTACAATGCACTGTTCCAAATTATTACGCACAGTAAGTTTCAAAACACTTTATAGGTTGTAAAGAACTGAAAATTGTCATTTGTTGTGTTTGCAGCATATTTACTGAAATCAAAAGACATTTCAATTAAACTTTTAACAACATTTTAACTTTTTAAACATTTTAACAGGTCACGTTACATTTTAACATAGGACCCATTATTTGATAGCAGCTTCACAAGTCTTGCATACATTGAACTTGTGAGTTTTTGGACAGTTTCTGCTTGAATCCCACCCTCATAGATCTTTGCTTGAGGATGCTCCCAAGGTTCTCAATAGGATTGAGGTCAGGGGAGGATGGAGGCCACACCATGACTTTCTCTCCTTTTATCCCCATAGCAGCCATTGATGCAGAGGTATTCTTTACAGCATGAGATGGTGCATTGTCATTCATGAAGATGATTTTATTACGGAAAGCATAGATCTTCCTTCTGTACCAGGGAAGACATTGGTCAGTCATAAACTCCACATACTTTGCAGAGGTCATCTTTACACCTTCGAGGACCCTAAAGGGGCCGACCAGCTCTGTTCCCGTGATTCTGGCCAAAAAATGACTCCACCACCGCCTTGCTGACGTCGCAGCCTTGTTGGAACAGGGTGGCCGTCCACCAACTATCCACTACTCCATCCATCTGGACCATCCAGGGTTGCACGGCACTCATCAGTGAACAGGACTGTTTGAAAATTAGTCTTCATGTATTTTTTCTGCCCAATGCAGCCATTTCTGCTTGTGAGCATTGGTTAGTGGTGGCCGAATAGAAGGTTTATGCACAGTTGCAAGACTCTGGAGGACTCTACACCTTGATGTCCGTGGGACTCCAGAGGCACCAGCAGCTTCAAATATCTGTTTGCTGCTATGTAATGGTATTTTAGCAGTGCTGCTCTCTTGATCCGATGCATGGATCTGGCAGAAATCTTCCTCAATGTGCCTTTATCTACACAAACCTGTCTGTGCTCTGAATCAGCCACAAATCTCTTAATAGTGCAATGATCACGCTTAAGTTTTCGTGAAATATCTAATGTTTTCATACCTCATCCAAGGCATTGAAGTATTTCACTCTTTTCGGCAGCAGAGAAATCCCTTTTCTTCCCCATATTGCTTGAAAATGGTGCTCTGCTTAATAATGTGGAACACCGTCCTTTAGTAGTTTTTCCTTAAATCGGGCTCACCGGCCAATCTAATTATCACAGGTGTCCGAGATTGTTTTCAGTGATCAAAAGAGCCCTGACACACAATGCCATCCATGAGTTAAACTGAAAAACATATTTAATCTTTGTGACACTTAAATAGAATTTGCATAAAAATTTGGAACAGGGTGTAGTATTAAGATTAGCTTTCAGCCAGGGTGAAATCACCCATAAGTGCCCAGTCTGGTGCGTATTCAGGAGTCATTTGCGCATTGAAATTGCACCTGAAATTGCATCTAATGAATGTGAATGTCAGTGTCTTAACATGTGCGATTTGCTGCAGCGCGATTTCTAGAGTAGTTCTTGCATTACTTTTTCTGCAGTTTATTGCAATTTCACATACATAGAATATAATGGAAATCGCAAAGCAAATCGCAAGAAATCGTTGAAAATCTTCACATTGCAATAAAGTCTTTAGAAATCGTACCTGAAATCACACTGAAATTGCACACAAATCGCACAATTTTAAGTCGCAGCGGTGTGACTGGTGACTAAATGTAGAAATGTCTGGGATGTTGCAAATTTTTTTTTGACATTCATAAAGCAGTTCCCTAAGTGTATATTGATGAATGTGGATAGGGATAAAGGTTTGTTGTTGTAAGGGACAACCCTGCAGTGCAGAAGCAGTTTATTGATTACGCTGTTAAAGCTTAAAGTGTTACTAAACCCACACCAGTAAAATCAATCTGTATATGCAGTAAAGCATGCTTGATGTACTCACTGTGGAACCTAAGGGGTTAATCCTCTGCATTGTGTAAAAAGGCCATTTGATCCTGTTTTCTCTGTCCCTCCTCTTGTTCAAATGTCCACGTCTTATCTCCTGATAAGACATATCGCGTGGAGTCACTCTGCACATGCTCAGTTTAGTGTGTATTGCTAGAGAGGTTTTTTTTTTTCGTGGAAGAGTGCATGTGATCAGCACAGGGCCAATCAGCACTGTCCAGACAGAGGTCAGGGGGTTTTGCATCCTCCAAGAGCTGAAGGAAAACTCCTCCTGCAAGCTTTAACCACTCGCCCTCAAGAGGATTTACCCCTTTCCTGCCAAGGCTATTTTTTTCGTTACTTTAACTGACAATTGCAAGGTGATTTTTCCCCACAAATAGAGCTTTTTTTGTGGTATTTTATTGCCTGTGTGGTTTTTATTTTTTGCTCTATAAAAAAACAATAATTTTGCAAAAAAAAAAAAAAAAAACAATAATTTTGAAAAAAAACAATATTTTTGACTTTTTTGCCAATAAACATATCTGGTAAAAAAAAAATTAAAAAATCTAATTTCATCATATTTAGGCCAAAATGTAATCTGCTACATGTCTTTGCTAAAAAAAAATCTCAATACGTGTAAATTAGTTGGTTTATGTGAAAGTTATAGTGTTTACAAATAGAGGTATATATACTGGAATTTTCTTTTTTTTTTTTTACTAGTAATGGCAGTGACCAGTGACTTATAGCGGGACTGCGGCGGGCATTCTGACATCTCCAGTGACACCAATACAGTGATCAGTGCTAATAAATAGCACTGACACTGTAATAATGGCACTGGGCAGGAAGGGGTTAACATCTGGGGTGATCAAAGGGTTAACCGTGTGCTATGCAGAGCCATACAAAGCAGTGTGCAGGAGCTGACAGGGGAGAGATCTGTGTTGTTTATACACAGGTCTCTGCCCCGTCGGTGATACTCGGCGATTACCAAGTGCCGGTGGGGAATCACCATCCGGGACCTGGTAACTGACAGTTGAGGCTGCTAAAGGCCCCCTACCCGGAACTGCAAAATCCCATATATATACTTGATTTTGCCCAGCCATTTTGCCCTGTAGCAGTATTTCTGATATAGGATGGTGCGGAAGTGGTTAACCAGTGCTCTGATGAAGTCACAAGACTGCTCTGACTGCTGATGAGAAAAGGTATTTAGCAGTTTATATTTACTAAAATAATTGAATGCCCATGTTGTGTGTACTGTGAGAGACCAGATATAGTGAATGCAGGGTCCTGGGTTTTTAGAGCACTTTAAAGGAGAAGTACAGCCAAAGTTAATTTGTTCAGCATTCCTGTGACCTGTTTTCAGACGACAGTGGGCTAAAGTCTGCTGTCGGCTAAAGTCACTCAGCTGGTCCAGGCTGGGGAAAGATCTCAACTTTAAAGTCGGATTCACTCCAGAGTCTGGAGCAGCAACTGGCTCAGCCTCTTCGAGATCTGCGGAGAGCCTGAGCCAGCCACTCCCTCCCCCCTCCACAGCCCAGCGCTCCGGGAAGGGGGAGTGGGACAAAGCAGAGAGCAGTGACTGACAGTCACCAGCTCTCTGCTTACGGAGCTCTGAGAACTGAGCGTTCAGTGGTATTTGATCGCTCAGCTCCCAGTCTTAGAACCCACAGATTACAGATGCCCCATCAGACTGATGCTGCATCCATCTATGTAAGTATGATTTTTTTTAAAGAAAAAAACAAACCTAAACTTCTCTTTTAATTTCAGCTAGTTGCTGAATTGAGTGGGGAAGAGTCACGTATTTTGCCATGGATTTATTTCTGTCCATGACTCCATTGAGATGATTCCCCTTACCTTTGATCCCAGGGCAAGACATTGGGTGAGTGGTTGTCACAGGAAGGCACTGGCACCAGTAAAACTATTGTTCTAATCTTTCCCTGCTCTATGAATACATTTTTCTTTTCCTGATAGGAAAAACATTTCTGACTGGGGGGGGGGGGGGAGATTGTCTTATATGTCATAATAGTAGGGGATATTCAAAATCGTATACCTAGCACCACAGCTGAAGTAGAAGAGATATTTTTCCATTACATTGCCTATTCTGGTGTCAATGATTACATGCAAGATTCCCCTCACTTTGGAGAGATTGTTACTTACTTTCTTTTATGACTGTGAGACAGGAATATATAGGTAATCTTCAAGATATTTTATTTCTTTCTGTTGATCCATCCAGTAAGTCTGTTGTTTTTCAAAAGAACAAGTTGTCCTTTAGATGTTAGAAGGATGAGACAAACCATTTAACATTGACAGGATGCTTACAGTGATTAGCATTTATTTATGTAAAACCTTTATCCAATTATGAAAAAACAGTTTGCTGTATGTGCTTATAACGTGTGAGCTGCAGTTTGTTAGTGTACCTAAATCTGTTACTCTATCTAACACTCCCCTCCACCCAGATTAACAATGCTGCTACCCAAAGGTGCTCCTGTGCTCCTTCATCCAGGGTGGGGGCACTCTAATACAGAAGGTGTGGTACAGGCCAGATCTCCAGGTGAAAACAGAGGGGAAAAAATCCTAAAAACAAAAACTAATGCAGCCACCAAATCTAAAGATCCTTAAGCTGCAATATATTACATTTTTGGTTTTGGATTTAAATGGACCTACACTGTACCTAATCACTACAAACTGAAAAACACTGAGGATTATCATAATACAGTACATAACAAAATGTCCATATTGTGATGATAATGTGAATTAAATGCTTTTTGGGCACAAGAGTCAAAAGCGCTTTTTCTGGTGAGGTATGCCTCTTGGGAACTTCCAGGACTCAGTATAACCATTGTTCCAATATGATAAATGTGAGATAAAGAATACTGGCAAGGGGGGAGAGAGCTAATTCTTAGGAATAACTCACTTAAATCTGTCCAAACAAGAGTCTAGTAAACATCCTGGGTATGATAAACACACAAAATCATAAAAAATATATATATAATAAATAATTATAAAAAATAATAATATAATAATACATTTAATTCAATAATGTCAGTGTCTGATGACGAATTTCCCCACAAATCACTATCACTCAATTCTGCAAGTGATTCAAATTCACTATCGCTGTTTTCTAGCTGGTCTAAAGCCGTTTTTGACCTAAAGGGATGGATGCCTGGGACAATCTCAAGTTTCCAGGCAGAAAGAACAGTAAAAGTGCAGACAGGGCACAGGACAAAGCACTAGGGACAAAACTGAGGTGAAATGGTTTGATTCAGTAATGTAATTGTGTGTATGTCATATTTTGTGTGTTTTTTGTTATTGCATTGCATTGCATTGTGTGTATGTCATATTTTGTGTGTATTGTGTGTATGTCATATTTTATCTTTTTTTAATTTCTCGCCAGTTCCGCTTCCCGTGCATACTGACGCTCGCAGGCAACAGAACCTGGAAGACGGATTGGCTGGAGGATACAGCGGGAGGACATCACGGGATCGCAGGACAAGGTAGGGATCAGGGGGAAAGCAGGAGAAGCACTATGGAGTAATCCCGTGTATGGCTTGGGGTTACCGCTTTTGTTACTGAAAATTAACCCTGAGCCACACTCAGGATTACCGCTAGGAAGGTTAATGTCTATTTGAAATAAATCAGATTTACAATGTATAAAGCATTAAAAATCCAAGCTAGTATACAAAGGTGCAGTATCTCCTAATTCTGGAACGCCGCTGGTTCACGTGCGTTACACTCACCGGATGTGACGTCACTTGCAAAACAGGAAACACTGGTTACACTGAGAAGGAGTCCTGGAAACACCCAGGCGGCATACCTCACCAGAAAAAGCGCTTTTGACTCTTGTGCCAAAAAACCAAAGAGTCCACCTTGTCTGGTGAGTATGGATCTAATAAGGGCAGGGGTCACCAAGCACTTTATTTTGAAGATTGGTTGTAAATTAACCTCTCTAGCGGTCTGTCAATATTTCTGTGCTGAAAGCGGTACTTTTTTTGCATGGAAATATGTATTTTTTTTATTGTAGGCCTGTAATTTTTAGGAATAACTCACTGAAATCTGTCCGATCAAGAGTCTAGTAAACATCCCGGGTATGATAAAATTTGAAACACAAAATAATAAATTATATTATAATAAAAAATCATAAAAAATAATAATATAATAATAATACATTTAATTCAATAATATAATCAAACAAAAAAAAACACTGAAATTTGAAATATAGCGCCAAGTTCGCACATCACTGAGCAAAGTCGCAAAATCGTTTTCAGTCATTATCATTAAATTCTACAAGTGGTTCTAATTTACTATCGCTGTTCTTTAGCTGGTCTAAAACCGCTTTTGACATAAAGGGAAGCTTTTCGGACGCCATGGACTTTTCTCAGTTTCAGAAAGAACAGTAAAAAATGCAGGCAGGGCACAGGACAAAGCACTAGGGACAAAATGTATGTGAAATGGTTTGATACAGTAATGTTTTACTATGTGATTGTAGTGTATTTAGTGAATGTCACTTGTAAATGTTTTTAATTTCCCGCCGGTTCTGTGCCCCGCACGTCCCGTATGTTCCGACGCTCGCAGGTACAGGAACCCGGAAGACAGATGCCGGCATCGGCCAGAGGAGATGGCTGGAGACGCTGCTGGGGGACATCGCGAGAGCGAAGGACAAGGTAAGTGCAAGAGGGATCCTGGAGAAACGCTGCAGGGTATTCCCAAGTGTAGCTCGGGGTTACCGCTTTTGCTACTGAAATTTTCCCCCGAGCTACACTCGGGAATACCTCCAGGGAGGTTAACGAGCAGGGAGCACTTTTTTGAATAGACTCACATTTAATTCACATTATAATCACAATCTGGACATGTTGTTATGTGCTGTGTTATGATAATCCTCTGATTCATAGTGACAAACACTTGAGCAGCAGCATTACAAAAAAATTTTTTTTAGCACAGTATAAGTCACCTGAGTGCAGGTTAGTTGTTCTTTGTTTTTCTCCATGCTTTATTTTGCTTAGAAATCACCTTGAAAAACACAGCGTAGCATTTCTGGATGTGACTATCTTGAGTAAGGGCAGATGATTCATGTAGCATGTACTTTCTGGAATCCATCTGCCCTTAGCCCCAGCATGCAGGCAGGAGGGTGTACTTAGCTAAGAAAACCCTTCTTTCCCTCCTGAAGACTCCTGGGAGGTATGACATAATTTGCCTGGGCATGGAAACCAGGAAGTTACTAAAGAAATGTTAAAAAAAAGTTTTAAAACAAGTAAATAAAATATACATCCTAATCTATTTACTAATGCTAGCAGCATAAGGATTAAAAATAGTCAATGTTGATTGAGAGAGTGCTGTGCCACTTTAACTTTAAAAAAATGGTTTCACTTTAACTTAAAAAATGTATACAGTTGAGTAGCAAGGACCATTTGTTGCTGCAGAATGTTTGTTCTTTGCTACAATGTATTATTTGCCCCCTGCAGTATGAACAGAATTAAAATTCAAAGCATCCCCAAAATGGAGCTGTGGCAGTCATCATGTTGAAGACAGAGTGGCGAAGGCCATCTTGGAGAAGACTTTGGGCAATGTTTAGCCTTAGAGTGTTCTCAACCCTGTTGCATTTTTTACTAACTGCCAGTTACAAAGTGGACACACCTCTACCTCTTCCTTGTGACATTCTTGATTTTGGCCTACTGTTCTTGGTGGCCACCCAACTGACTCCTGGCAGAGGAGAGGTACTACCAGCATCAGCTTGCCCAGCTGTTTCTTCACACTCCTAGGAAGAGAGAGTAGAACTACAGTTAGCAGAGGGGTCTGACTTTACAGACTATGAATTTGTGTACCCCTACTAAGCACCCCCAAATAAAACAATAGACATACTTAAACAGGCCAAAGGGCATGGCAGCCAGTGGACCAGCATGGCCTTATTAGTGACATGGTTCTGCATGCTTAGAACAGAAGGGAGTTTTACCTGAATTTTGTTTTTTGTTTTTTCTGGAAATCCTTTCCGATATGGTTTTTAACCTGTTTCTGCCTGGCCTATAGGCAAATGATGGCCAGGCAAGAGACACATGCCATTCCGGATGAAGCTCACCTGTGTACCAGCCACTGCCAGTACCATGTGATTGCTGTCACCAATCAAAGCAGATCACATGACAATTATACACAATGGATGGCATTTTTGGGCCTCAAGAAATTAGATAGGCCACCTGTATATTTATGGTATATATCTGATCAATTGTCAGATATATACCATAGTTTGTGGACTCTATAACTTTCCTACCAGACTAACTAATAAACACTGATTTGGGTTATTTTCACAAAAGAAATGTAGCAGAATACATTTTGGCCTAAATTTGTGAAGAAAGGTTATTTATTTGCAAAATTATATAACAGAAATTAAGAAAAACAAGTTTTTATTCAACATGTTCTGTATATTTTTTAGCTTATTTAGCAAAAAAAATGAAAAACCCAGTGGCGATTAAATACCACTAAAATAAAGCTCTATTTGTGTGAAAAAAATGATAAAAATGTATTATGGGTACAGTGTTGCATGACCGTGCAATTGTCTTTCAAAGTGCAACAGTTCTGAAAGCTGAAAATTGGCCTGTCCAGGAAGGGGGTGAAAGTACCAGGTATTGAAGTGGTTAAAAAAAGTGTGAATTATGTGGAATATTTTACCATATGAGCTAGTAGTTTGCAAAACAATCGGGCAATTTTATTGGAACTAACAAAATGCAAAGTTATAATTACTAAAGGATAAGAGAACAATATTTTGATTCAAGGAATTGACCTTACTGCCTTTGAGAGACAATGGTTTTACATGGGTTTTGTTTTGCTTTCTATAGACCTAACCTGCAGGGGTTGTAGGTGGAAAATTTGATGGACATGAGTCTTTTTCAACTTTAATAACTGTGTAATTATTTAGTGTAGTTTTTGTTCTTATTTCTATACAGACGTTGTGCCAGATTGTCATGTAATCAGCTAGACAAAATGATAGACATTTACGTTACACGTGTTTATTATGAAATTATTTGCTGATACTATCTTCCATAGAAAGATCTACAATTGTTTCAGGCTCCTGACAAGAACAGTAACAGTGTTTGTTTTTCTGTTACCGCAGTGAAGTCAGGTCCTACTGAGACTATGATTAGCTTTCATTCCATATTGTAAGTGTTCCGAAACACTGCTGTTTGCACAATCTTGTATTCTCTAAAATACAATAATGATTTTGTGGTGTTAGGTTTAAAAAACATGCCAAAATATTTTCCATTAATTAGTCAAATAAATCCCTTAGATGATTATTATAAAAGAACTATGTCCAAGTATAATACTACATATTGCCTACTTTAAATAACCACCATAGCATGTGAAAATGTGAAAGTCTTGGTTTGGTGTAAATAAAAACATATACATATTTTTGTGAAGGACTTGCGCCTATCTTTAGTTTCTTTACCATTATTTTTTGTATCTCTTTTTACTTACCTCTTTCTTTTTGAGAAACTTCTTTGACTTACAGTACGTCAGGAAAAAATACAGAGAACTGTTTTACATTTAAAGTAAATCTGTAACATTGGAAGCCAGACTTTTGTAAGTACAGCTTTGTATAATTAACAAAATACGTACTGCAGCGTATCTTTTAGATTCAAATTTGTTTGGGGAGGATTCAGATTTAAAGTGGAGCTCCAGGTAGTAATAGGAACAAACCATTTTAATCAGTTTTTTAAACATATCTTTAACCTCCTTGGCGGTATTCCTGAGTGTAGCTCGGGGTAAAATTTCAGTACCAAGAGTGTAACCCTGAGCTACACTCGGGCTTACCATGCGGCGTTGCTCAGGGAGTCCCTGCAGTACTTACCTTGTCCTTCGCTCCCGCAATGTGTCCCCTGCCATCTCCTCCGGCCGATGCCGGCATCCGGCTTCCGTGTTCCGGTCCCTGATGTCGGGACGTACGAGCGCCGCGGCAAATTTGAAATTTTTAAAAATGTCTTTTTTTTAAAAATGATTATTATATAGTAAAAAATTGCTGTTTCAATGCATTTCACATACATTTTGTCCCTACTGCTTTGTCCTGTGCCCTGCCTGCATTTTGACAGTTCTTTCTGCCTGGAAACTGAGAAACGCCCATGGCGTCCAAAAAGCGTCCCTTTACGTTTTAAAAGCGGTTGTAGACCAGCTAGAGAACAGCGATAGTAAATCAGAACCACTTGAAGAATTGAGTGATAATGATTTGTGGGGAAATTCGTCATCAGACACTGAAAACGATTTTGCGACTTTGCTCAGCGATGTGCGAATTTGCCTCTGTATTTCAAATTTCAGTGTTTTTGGTTTGGTTATATTATTGAATTAAATATATTATTATTATATTATTATTTTTTTATGATTATTTATTAAATTATAATTTATGATTTCGTGTTTCAAGTTTTATCATATCCGGAATATTTACTAGACTCTTGTTCGGACAGATTTCAGTGAGTTATTCCTAAAACTTACAGCCTACAATAAAAAACTACATATTTCCATGCAAAAAAAAATGGTACCGCTTTCAGCACAAAAAATCGGAAATAATCATACCGCTAGGGAGGTTAAATACTGTATGGTTAGAATAATTACCTGAATTCTGCATTGTAGTATACTCCTAGGGCTCTATTGCTTTGATTAGTGTTGTTAATTTAACACTAGGAAAGTGCTTTCAGGTAGAGTAAGGGATGACCTGTTAAATGTGTGACTCCTACTTCATTGTCCAACCAGCAGACTGAAAAAAGATGATCCCATAATTCTGATCTTGCACCAAAACTCATAAAGGTAAAGCATCTGTGATACATGCAGTGTGAAAGTAATCCAAAAGGTTTGATATCCAGCCTTATTTTACAACAGCCTAATTGTTTAACCTATTCAAAAACCATCTTGTCTTGGAGTGTAGTTGTAAAATCAATATAGCTGAGATATGGTTTTGTATGAGATATTAAAATATATATATATATATATATATATATATATATATATACATACATATATATATATAATATATATAGAGAGAGAGAGAGAGAGAGAGAGAGAAAAGAACATTAAAACAGCTACTAGAACCAAGTTATTATAGTTTTCTTTTATGTATAAAAATTAAAATACCGTCTATTATATTCAGAGCACAAACAATTATACATTAGAATATACCATTTTTTAACTATTTAAGTGTTTCTAAACCCAGGACCCTGCATTCACTATATCTGGTCTCCCACAGTACACAGAACATGGAAATGCAAATATGTTGGTAAATATAAACTGCTAAATACCTTTTCTCATCATCAGTTAGAGCACTCGTGTGACTTCTTTTAGTGTCCAGTCGAGCACATGTTAAAGCTTGTAGGAGGAGTTTTCATTTTGCACTAGGAGGATGCAGAACCCATGACCTCTGTCTGGACAGTGCTGATTGGCCCTGTACTGATCACATGCACTCTCCCAAGGAAAAAAAAAATCTCTAGCAATACACACCAAACTGAGCATGTGCAGAGTGACTCCACATGATATGTCTTATCAGGAGATAAGAGGGGGACACTGGAAGAAAGGAATCAGAGAAGACAGGATCAAATAGCATTTTTACACAGTGTGGTGGATTTACCCATTAGGTTCCACAGTGAGTATAACAAGCATGCTCTACTGCATATACTCTACAGACTGAATTTACTGTTGTGGGTTTAGTACCACTTTAATCTTTCCCAAGTATTCATATTGGGGATTTATGATTTTGGATTCTGCTTAAGGATATCAATTAAACCTTATCAGCTAAGAAGTAAACTATGCTGAGATGTTACATGTTCTTTACCAGCTATTTTTAAAATGATGAAAGAAAAACATGTGAATGTGTTCTCCTATAATGATTTAGTGTTTATACTGTATGTAGACAGTTAAGCTGATGTGTAAGGAAAGGGAAAGAATATTGCAGGAATCTAACTGATTACTAACATTTATAGGTAAAGATCCAGGGAATGTCCGATTGCCTTCAGGGGATCAGGAAGGAATTTTTTCCCCTGCAGCAGCAAATTGTGTCATGCTTTGCTGTTTTTTTTTTGCCTTCCTCTGGATCAACTGTAGGTATAAGATTATAACTTTTTTTTTTTCGGTTGAACTGGATGGACTTGTGTCTTTTTTCAGCCAGACTAACTATGTAACTTTGTAAATATGTATATACACTATATTGTCAAAAGTATTGGGACGCCCCACAAAATGATTGGATTCAGGTGTTCCAATAACCTCCATGGCCACAGATGTATAAAATCAAGCACCTAGGCATGCAGACTACTTCTACAAACATTTGTGAAAGAATGGGTCGCTCTCAGGAGCTCAGGGAATTCAAGTGTGGTACTGTGATAGGTTGCCACCTGTGCAATAAATCCATCTGTGAGATTTCCTTGCTACTAAATATTCCGGTCAACTGTTAGTGGTAATATAACGCTCCATGGTCCTTATACACCCTCAACCTGATGTTTTTGATTATGCACCTAGTGGTTGCATTCTGTTTTATTTTTTCTCCATGAGGCAGATGACAAGAAAAAAGTATATGCGGTAAGAAACCTCCATTAAGTATAAGGATCTTGGGGACAGCCATATCTCTATATACAATTTTTATATATAGATATATTTATTCACATGTTGGTATTAGATCTGGATTCACCCTACAATATGCTGCCATTCAACAGTGGAGGTCTCTTTGAAGAGTGCCTCTCTGGGCTATGAGTGTGACCTGATTGTGTAGTATCTACAAGCATATGTATTATGTTTACAAGCACCATTGTGTGGCTTTATGTGTCATTGGTATCTTGGATCTATGTGCTGGGAAGTGGTCACCCCCGTTCTTATGGGCAGAGTCCTCACAACATCAAGTGACTTTGACCATTTCTTCCTCATATCATTCAAATATGGTCACCCGGGTCGGTAGCCTATGGTAGCCTACGGTTCTGAGGATAGCCGAGAATCCAGTGAACATTGCTGGATCGAGAGGAGGCTTAGGTGAGTATTGGAGGAGAGGGGCATGCTGTGCACACAGAAGGTTTTTTCACCTTCAAGCATAGTATGCATGAAGGTAAAAAATCCTTGAGCCTTTATGTCCACTTTAAAAGCCTTAGGGACAGTTTAAACACGTTTCAAAATCAGTTTAATAATGAAAAGGTCAAAGGGAGGCAAATAAAATATTTACAGAAAAAAGGTGTTACAAAGAAATAAAGAGACAATAAAGTAACAGAGAAATAAAAAGTAGTTGAAAATTACGAATACTTGCAAAGTCCAATTGATCAAGCAAAAATGGCTCTCTCAAATCCGGTTCGGTGTTCCTTGGTTGACGTTAAATGAGAACAGTCAGGGGTCCTGACATTTCCTTTTTCTGTGGTCCTGTTGGATTTTATGAATTGTGTGCGGATTTTGTTAAGTTGTGAATTGGCCAGAGGTCTTGGACAGGTGGCCCCCCTGCCTGGCTGTTTTCTATGTAGATGTTTTACGCAACGCTATGTGTTCCTAGTGGTTTAATTGCCCTACAAACCATGTGTGACAGAAATTACAGATTTTGTCCTAGTTTTACGATAGGTCAGAGGGAAGTGTTAATCTGTAGAGTTTTTTTGGTCATTAGAAACTAACAGGCATCCTGCCAGGACTCAATTAGCTGTTTACAGCTTTGACCAAGTCCTGCGTGTTGGTGTTGTCTGTCCCTAAGTTGATATGACAGGCTCTTTTGAAGTGTGTTAAAAGTTAAGGCTATGGATTCCATAGATTGAAGGAGTAGGGAGGGGATAAGATCACTGGGCTCATGAAAAGTAAACATCTGAGACCTGAACAAGATGGATGTCTCCTACAGCTTTCATGGGTCTAATGCACACAACCATTACAATCCCCTTTAAGAGGAAATTTTCAGACCAAAAGTATTGGAAGCATATATCTGGGAAGACCAATTGTGCTGTCAGACTGACCTCTATAAATGCACTTCAGGCTTGGATTGTTGCTCAGTGTACATCATGATTCCTGGTGGAGGTGGATGTCGGTCATGGGTTTTGTCCTCCTAGCACTGCAACTTTCTTATACATCATTAACCACTTGCCGTCCGCCTGCTGTTTTTAAAAGGCAGGACGGTGGCACTCCAGGGGCGGGTTGCCGTTCATAAATGGCACTCGCTATTTCCAGTTGTGCGCGCTCCCTGGGAGTGCGCAGCACCGCGATCCGGTGCCCACTGTGTCCTCTGGACACAGTGAAACACTGATCGTCGGACGGGACCTCTGTACGAGGTCCCGATAATGTGATCACTGATTGGCCAATCAGTGATCACATGCAAAGTAGTAAGCAAGATGTCACATATAAAAAAATAAAATAAAAATGTAAAAAAAAATGTTTAAAATTATAATTTTTGGTTATAACTAATTTTTGGCATATTTTTTTTTTTCTAAAAAGATAACGGAATAAATTTTGGCCAAGATTTATGATGAAATATTATTTATTTGTAAATTTTCTAAGAAAAACACTTTTTTCAAAATTTTGGGACTTTTTCATTTATATATAGCAAAAAAAAATAAAAATCCCAGCGGTGAATAAATACCACCAAAATAAAGCTTTATCTGTCTCAAAAAATGGTAAAAAATTAATATGGGTACAGTGTTGCATGACCGCGCAATTGTCATTCAAAGTGTGATAGCGCTGAAAGCTGAAAATTGCCCTGGACAGGAACGGTGTAAAAGTGTCCGGACAGGAAGTGGTTAAAGAAGGATTCTATATATAAGTTATTGTTGCAAGCAGATTGCACTTTAGAGATATTACATCTACAAGTGTTGATATTGTTTCTGAATTTATAAACCTTTCTAAATGTGTTTTTTTTTTCAGCCCTTAAAATCTTTGGTAGTATTAGCTTTTTGATAATTAAGATTAAAATCCTTGGTATCAAATGCAATTTAAAGAAAAATAATAGAAAATGAAGACTCTGCTTCCACTCTACTGTCAAAACATTAGATGTATTCACCTGCACTCAAGAAAAATGTAAACTAGTTCTTATTTATTATTCTCCAGTTAAAATGACACCTCTCTCATTAATGAGCATTCACTTATGTCTGTTTATGTTTTTCTATTCAAAGATTTCTAAAGGTCTATGCCTTTGAACAGGGCAACAAGGGGACATCTCAACATCCTCTTATAATTTCTTCTCTGCTCTGCTCCACCAGGTAACCACTGATTCCACTCCTCTCTCAAACGCTAAGTTACTCTGCCTGTCTGCAATTAATATCTGCCTGCTGTTGCCATCGGTAAACACTGATTTCACTCAAATACTAAGCTATTTTGCATGACTAAAATCATCTGCTTTGTTAGACCCATTGTAACTGCTGTTTGTACTTGTCTACATTAAGTTAACTTACTCTCATAGTGCCTTAGCTGAGATCAAACACCTTGCTTTATCTTGTGTCCATCCTGCTTGCAATTTGTTAAGGACAACAAACTTTCACCATGTGTCATTTATTAGCTCTTAATTGAACAATTGCCTAACCTCCCCTAGTCCATCCAAATATAAATTCAGTACAGTCCTTGGAATGGCTGGCAAGGTACAAGCTGGCCATTCCTTGAGCAAAG